TGCATCCTGCGGCCGCCTCTGCAACCCGCCGTCGGGAACAAGCGCAGAACCCCAGAACACGCAGCGGCCCAAGGTTCGGGGCTCTAGAAACCCCAAACCATTCGCCCGCGCAGTGCAACGCCCTGACGGCATCTACAGATTGTTCTGTCCTTGTTTCTAACAAGAGGAACGATAACCCCAGTAGCGTTACACTGATTGATGATTGGATAATTTTCCGGAATACCAACTCAACTCAGCAGATAGCCTTCCTTCATGATGTACAGTATGTGTGTCTCTAGGTATGGGAAGCATTACAGAGCCTCTCGGATATGCTTCGTTCATGTCCTTTGACTTGGTTGGACACGATGTCTCTACCTAACCCAGGCTGATGCCACATCTAGCAAGTCGCTTTCTGAGCTCCGGGCGCATCTTGCCTCTGATAGGTTCGGCCATATCCAGGCTATCAATGCCCACCTGTCCAACTCTTACGTACGTCTATCAACCACAACTCTCACAAACGGGCCTCCACGAGCTTTTCAACCACACTTTTCCCTTTTTTGTGTGTGCAAAGCTCTCGTTTTTTGTCTTTCCCGGTTAGAGAGCGATCCACAAAGATGCTTCCCGGTGCACGCACGCACACTGGGGAGAAACATCTTTTGTTTCGCCAGCTAATTTACAAGACCTGCGCTTGCTTTGTAGGCGGACCCGGCGTTTGTCCAGCCATAAAACAGTCAACCAACGTAGGTAGTCACTCGCATCTGTCATCTATTGTGGGATGCGGGTTGCATCCATGCGGCTGCGAGACGCTTGGAGCCATGCTCTGATCTGAATGGAATCAAACACCAGCTGGGCTCGCCCGGCATCTCCTTGGTCAGAATGGATGGATCCACAACCGCTTGTGTCGCCGCCTCGGCTGTTCAACTTACCCCTCGACTGCTGTAAGGTACCAGCAATTATGCTACAGCCAAGTCATGATTGAAGGCGAGATGGTGTCGAGCGTGTGTGGCCCGGTTGATTTGACGCCAGACAAAACACAGAGAATGCGACATTCGTACACCGGTGCATCTGCACACATGTTCAGAAAGACCCAGCAATTTATGTCCTGTGACGTCTCGTGCTGCTGCGCCCTATACTCTGTTCCCCGGTCATGCCTCAGCCTTGATTTGCTGAACCCTTTCCAAACCGCTGGGACGGATGAGCACCCACAAGACAAAGATTGCCAACAACAGCAAAATAGGTAACAAACCACGACACTAAAGAGCCCCTTATCAATACGAAATCCTTCACTGCTGTGTGGTCACTGGTCATACCTAGAAATTCCTTTTCTTGGACGCCGATCAGAATATTACTCTGGCTTTGCTCGAGAGGCGAGCATGACCTACATATATTGCTGACAGGATGTTGCTCTCTCTCATATTAAGTATCTTCAATCGTACCCGCACGATCTAGGTTGTGCTCCCAACTTTCGAAAAGCACCAACCCACCAGACCTATGACCTCGTGACTGTTTCTGACTGAGGCGGCAAACGACGGGCGCTGAACGAACCTTGTAGCATATTGGCCTTTACAACTACGGGAATTAAACCTAGAATTGCCGCGCTTTTGTGGGCGTGCCATTTTTGGAGTCCGCATTCAGTCTGGATGGGTTTATGCCGAGGACTTGGGTCTGACTGTATCGTCTCCCATATGGCCTGCCCCCATCCAGACGTTGGACGAAATGGTACATAGAATGGATCGAGGGAAAGGAGCAACACAAATATGATGAGCTTGGACAGGTAAGAAGAGCTGGTGGACAACAACGGTCGTGGATTGATGAGGCAAGCTGCGATTAATCTGATTGACGAACATATAGTCTAATGGTCTCAAGAAGCCCAACAGGGAATGCCTAGAGACAAGACACGCGAGAGAGGGAGGCGCCGTGCCCGTTGAGATGTGGTTGTCGGCGGACATTCCAGTCGGGAGAAGAGCCCAATGTCCAATATCCAAGCATATTTCTCTTGCCATCGCTTATTAACATTTGCGTTGAGTTAGTATTGACCTGAGACTCTATTAAGTCTACGCAATTACCCTCCCTTAAATATTGATAAGTTCATTTCATCCGCCGCCTTGCCCTTCCGCCCGTTGACCGCTTGAAAGTCTCGGCACAACAGTCAGTGCCTTGAGGCAATAGCCTTGCGCACCTCGAAGGATCTCCAGCTCCTCACAGAAAGCCTCTTTCTTGTTTGTCTCTTATTGAATCAAGGATGCATATCAAGTCGGAAGCAATCTCCTATTGTGTCACGTCATGGGCTCGACTTGAGGCCTTGGTCCAAAAGAACAAAGACGATGCAGTCAATGCGTTGCGTTGCGATACATGCTGAGCCAATCGCTTGCGGTCCGGTCCTTGAGGCGTCGATGAACATACTGGTATGTATGTGTTATTGATCTACCTAGGCAGCCTGGTGTAGCCTTGCCGTTCCTCCCCTTGGCCACCCAACCTCAGCTTGCTTAAATCACAGGCTTCCTGATGTTACCAGGTAGGTAGTCAGTTAATGTGCCTGTCAGTGATACCCAAGGCAGTCCACTCTGTTACTCCATCTTGTTATTCTCATTCTCATTCTGGCACGTGCTCAGCTCATCTCCCGAGACGGGCTGGCTTCTAGCCCTCGACTCTAACGCCAGAAACGCCCTGCACCCGGTTCTATGCTTTGTTTCCTTGACATCCAGTCTTTATTGCCTGCCTCTTTGGAAGTTTGTTAAATATAGTCTCCCATTGAAAGATCGGTAGCCTGTATCAGAATAGGCGCTTGCGCAGATTAGTTTGTGTTAGGCGATTGCCCATCCATACTGTACTTGTATTGTATGGTACGGGATGGAGACTTGGCTTAGATCATGATCGTAAATGAATCTCATTTTGCCCGTACTCGCAGCTTTGCTTCCAGACTAACCCAAGTAATATTTTAGTCCAACTCGCCTGGCAGCCGGGCTCCTGGGTACAGTACAGTGCGTGCCGGGACTTAAATCAGAGTACAGTGCAAGGGCAGGCTGCTCGGGCTGGGCTGCAGCGGGTACGGTACCTTAGGTGCCAGGTCTTAGGTCTTACCTAGGGGCTTGCCTGCGTTAGTACACACTTAGATACAGTGCACTACAGTACCCCGAGGACGGGAGCTGTCCCTAAAGTGGTTTTTGGTTTCTGGTCTATGAAGTGCCCTGCTAACTTACCTCCACTAGCTGGGGCCGGTTCCCTGGGAACGGCACGACACCGGCCCATCCGTCCCATTAACTTACTCCCGCCCTGGCCTTCCGCCACTTGCCTCCACTGTGCTGCCAGTCCAGCCAGCCAGCCAGCCCAGCCCAGCCTAGGCCAGCCAGTCCACAGTCGGTTCAGTTCAGTCGGTCAATCCACAACATCTCACTCACCCTAAGGGAAAAAACCCCTTCCTTCATGCTACTACTGCTGCACCTTAGCTGCAGTGCACACACTACCTAACACTGCGCACTACGGCGTACACTACACAACCTACACTACACCACACACGCTGCACCTGCGCCTGCGCCTGGCCCCTCGCACAAACCCTTTCTTGGTCGCTTCCAGTTCGTTAGACTCACACCCTTTCATCCCCTGCCATTAGCTCCCCACTTCCCTGTCGCCGCAATTGCATGGGATGAGGGCACCTTTAGAGAGGAACAGAACAGAACAGACAGACAGACAGACCTTGCCTTTAGGTTGGTAGGTAGGGATAGGAGATACCTGTAGGCTGTAGCTTGACGTGGTAGGTATAGCACCTGCCCTGGATTTACCTTACCCTCACCTCACCTTAACATTGACCCGACTCTCCCTCACCTCCCCTTCTTACTTCTCCATCATACATATCTCTCAGTTCTTCAACTCTCCACTCGCAACCTCATCTTCCCCATCAGCATTCCCATCAAGTACAACCGACCAAAACACCATATCAAAGCTGGAAACTCATTCCTGTTTGACCTTGGACTAGGGGATGGCACCTCGTTTGTACATGCTCTGTTGTCACCCGTGAAGGAAAAAGAGACGAAGAAAAAAGAAAAAGGAAGGGCGCTCACGAACGAGAACAAACGACTCTCTTTCCGTTGCTATTCGGGGCGTCAGACACATCTCAATCTCACGTCGATCAACAAACGCTTCCTTGGGAGGATATCTCCTCTTGCAGACACGCACAGCGAGCGAGACAGACAGACAGACCAGCAGCAGCAGCAGGACCTAGGAGGGAGACAGTACATATTTTGTCTCTCACCTGACTATTTCCGCACCCCCAAGAAAAAGGGAAAGCAAGGGCAAAAAGGGCCCAAAAAGTGTCCCCTCTTTTATTTTATTTTTTTCTCCCCTCACCCCCAGTACCAAGTCTCAAGTCTCAAATCCCAGTCTTCGCAAAGCAAAGCAAATCCACAATCCACAATCCCCAAAAACCCCAGGCTCCATTTACGGTTGGGTGGTTCCTGGTTCCTCCCACGCACCGCACCGCACGCACGCACGCACGTACACCGTCGACGTGGATCAGATTGGATCGGAGGTTCCTCCCATCCCATCCCATTCCCTCCCTCGCTATAATTGTCGGCCTGTCCCGCTGCACTCTTCCCGCCCACGTCAGAGACCATTTTCACACTCCTCTGCCTCTCAGGAACCAGAACCCTCCGTCAGGCCAGGCTTAGGATTGCGGTTCCAAGACCTCGTGGAATTTGCTGTCATCTCCCGCCGAGACATACGCTCACTCACTCATTCTTGACTCGCAGCAATCGGTCATCCCGTCGACCTACAACGCAGTAGGCACAAGACACGCGCGACAGCTCAAGAGAGTAAAAGACAGTCCAGGATCTCGACGACTCGCTTTAGATTATTATTTGACCATTTCCCTTTCCCTCCCTCCACTTCGACTTGGTCTTGGAATATTTCCACCGCCAAATGCTCAGCTGCAGAAACGGCCCCTCAACTCATTCAACTGCACGCATTTGGTATTAACGTCGCTGACCGCATCTGCCCGTCTGCGGCCCTTTGCGCCTCAACATAGCATGGCCGACGACAGCTACCGAAAAGAGTATCCCCAGCAGAGCCGCCCAGAAGACACTCACTCTCGACCCCAGTCACATTATCCCCCTCCGCCGGACACCGCCCAGCGGCCCTCCGACGCTCCTCCATCCAGCATGGCTACATCAGTTACTTTGCCCTCTATCCACGACTCCCGCAGTTACGGCCCGCCGCCTGCAGCTCCGGGACGTGGTTATCCTGCCGACCCGCGATACGCATCTCCCAATGCCGTCAATGGCTACCCTCCTCCCGGCCATCAGCCTCCGCCCGGTCAACCTCAACAGTACCTTCCGCCTTTGCAGCCGCAATCTGATCCCCGATCTTCGGCCTATCCTCCTCCGCCGCCGGACCAACGTGGTTACTATGACGACCGCCGTCCACCATACGGGCAAGAGGCGTACAGCACGGAACCTTACTACGCCTACTATCGCGGACAGCCTCCTCCTCCAGGACCTCCACCGCCAAATGGCCACCCAGGCTACCGCCACATCCCCGCCGGCGTCTATGAATACCCAGTCGGACATGGCAATGCGCCTCCTCTGACACAGGCAGCCCCACGACAACGAACATCAATTGCTTGTAGATATTGCCGGAAGAGAAAGGTTTGTGACTGACGCGATTCTTGAGGGTTGTTCCATTGTCGTTCAAAAATGCTGACTATCTATAGATCCGCTGCAGCGGCTACCAGAGCGCCCCCGGTGGCAAGTGCCAGAATTGCGCCCGTATGAACCAAGAATGTATCTTTCAGCCCGTGTCTTCTTCAAGCTCGACAGCTTTTATCCCCGTGTCAGCGCTCCCGGGAGGTGTACCCCCAGGCACTCAACTCTTTGGTGCCTATGGGCAACCCCTTGCCCCAGGCACAGTCCCAGCACCTCCACCACCCCATGCTGCTTATCAGCATGCTAGTGCCCCTCCCCCTCCTGGAAACTATTACGCGCCTGTCCAGTCGCCTACAGAATCCTTTTCGTCTTATGGCGAAGCTAGGACCGATGACGGCAGCCAGCTTGCAGGGCGACGACGTCGCAGGACGTCAGAAGAACAGGATGAAGGCTATAGACTGCCTCCTCCACGAAGTGCCGTGGACGAAGACCCGCGCAGAAGGTCTCCAGCAGAATTTTCGAACCACAGTAGCCCAGGTGGAGTGGGGTACCCTCCGTATCAAGGTGCAAGACAAAGCCCACGAAACCCAACGAGCGGCAGTTTGCCTCAAGCTGCAACAGCCGGTAGTTATACAGCTTCTGCACCTGGCGGTCGTTCCCCGACAGGCCAAAATGGGTCAAGTGGTGCGTCCACCCCTGCGAGGCAGGGACAGCAGTCCCAAGGAGGAAATGCATCGATCATGAGTCTGAGCAACTTGGTAGATAAAAGTGATATCGACAAGACTATGATTGAAAGGCTTAATCGACCTGCACCTGGTCAGCCTGGCGCACGGCGAGATGTCAGCCGCTAAGGAGGTGGTAGGGTGAGAGTTGACGATGCCGGACACGTCAACGGAGAGGGTCGGAATTACATATGACAACGCTTGCCGAAGAGTCTGTTGGTTTCCGCTGGAAGGCTGCCGACAAGTTGATGACGAATGCATTGTTTTTAATACCCTTTCCGAATCGATTACACGCCCAGATTTTCGTTGACCGGGAAGTGAAAGGAGCGTGGCTCAAGTGAGGAGGAAAAAGAAAAACAGCGGACGGGCGGGGGGACCGCGATAACAAATACAGGACAAGATGTCAGGATCTAGAAAAAGACGCGAGTTTGGCGACAAACAACCCCTCCGCTCGGATCTCATGGTCTGTTGGACGTTTTGTTATATGGCACTTGATTTATGTGAATTGTCCTTGACAGACTCTTCGTTTCTCGGAGGGGAAAGGATTTTGCCCAAAAAGCAACTACTGCAAAGTCGTTGTATTATTTTAATCGGTCGGCCACTTTGTGTTTCCAGGAAAGACGGATAGCCTCACGGCACCATACGGTTTGGTTTTATTTATGCTGATGCTTTGTCACGTTTGTACATTTGAGTTGTTTATGTTGTCTCTGCTGTTTGTTGTCATTCGGGTAGAGAGAACGAGAGCCGTAGCGATATGGTCTCGGGTGATGTTTAAGGGTGTTCTGGAGACTGGAGGAAAGAGAAAAGCCAGGTCCTATCAAAAGGTACTGGAGGAGAAGATGACAAGCAAAACAGAGCGAGCGAGCTCAGGGCTTCGAGAGGAGGATGAGGGCAAAGGATGCGGGGTTGATTCTGAAGATTCCTTTCACTTTTGTTGTTCTTTTGCCTACGTAGTTGAGTACTCATCGCAATGGTCGAATCCAATAGGGTGATGACCATGTATAAACAGAAATATTGTTGTGAATTTGATCGAGATGTGTACGTGATGTCATTTGAAGGTCACTTGATGCTGAGAAGACATGTGCGTGCCTGTATACTCTGTCCCATCCCATCACATCCTGTCTCTCTCTCTCTCTCTCTCTCTCTCTCTCGGGACTGGGACTCGGTGTTTAGGTAGGCTCTTGCTTCCGCTGTGCCCAGCTAATGATTGGTTTGTCACCGACGCAAGTCTAGGCGGAGAGGGGCAAACGAGCCAATGAGTGGCTCTAGGTTCAAAGGATTTACCAGCAGACATCGGCTTAATGTTGGCACTGACTGTAGGTAGGTAGGCACCTACTGAATGCCCTGGGTTTATGTGATGCACTTAACAGCACCAACCTACTAATATTTACTAGGCACATACATAGCTCATGGATTTACCGACTGGAGGACGGAGTTTGGAATCTGTGGTTGATTACCACTGTACTACACTGAGCTAAAGAGTAAGCGGAGATGCACAAAACTGGAGAGGGGACGAGGAGGAGACGAGACAAGAGGACAAGCTGAGAGAGGACGGCTCATCAGGTCAAATCAGGTCAAGTCAAGTCAAGTCAAGTCAAACCAAGCCAAGCAGCGACGGGACAAGTTAGCATTTAGGCAGGCTAGGGGCCAGGCAGGGAACAGGCCTCTCCGAGGGGGCTTCTACAGTATGGACTGAACACAACACAACGGTCTTGTTAGGGGAGTGGACAAGCAACGGATGCGAGGTCATCGAGTGTCACCCGAAGACTCCCGGCGGATACGCGGCAGATACCGTTGAGATTTACCAGGGTATTCAGTGAGAGTGGGAGGGAGTAGGTACAGTAATAGGGTAGAACAAATTTGAATTTTGATGATGATATACGTTGGTACGACATGGGCATTCGTTCAGTTAGATTGTAACTATGTAGGTAGGTATGTACCTGAGACTGAGAGTTTGGGGGACGGAAGCGGGAAAGGCGTTCACAGTAGCAAGGTTTTGGGGACTGGAGGGGCATTACAGCAGAGGCCAGGCTCACGCAAGGGACAGAAACGGCGTTTGACTTTGGCCGATTGACGGTTGAACAAGAGAGGACAAGAAGAGGGAAGGGACTCGAGGGTATGGGATGGGATGGAATGGCGGGGGGGCGGACTAGACCACGCAGGCGGCTCTTTGTTTGCTCTGGAGACAGACAGACAGACAGACAGACCCATCAGTAGTCTAGCTATCTTGGTCTGCTTTACGAAGAGCGGTGGGATGAGAGCGCAGATGCCTAAGTATGTAGGTGAGAGAATGGAGGATGCTCAGAGAGTCGATCCACATGGTTAGAGATGATATTGACCGCTATCTAGACAATAAGAGTAAGAGACGGGGCTCAGTCATGAATTGCATCTTGAAATGCAGCCTTGCGGCATACATGCATGCATGCATACTTAGTTACAGCACCTACCTACAGTACAGTGTGGTCCAGTGCAGTAGTGGACCGACCATGGCTGGCTGATGCAACGGGTAATGGAATTAGTTACAGTAGAGTAGTTTCTGGAGAAGAGGGTAGAGAGGCAGAGAGGCTAGAGGTTACCTCGCGGCAGGCTAAGTACAGTACAGATTGCAGAGACTAAAGACTAGAGGCTGAGACTAGAGGCTAGAGGCTAGAGAGGAGGCTTTTTGCGGCTGTCTATCAAACCGTTGACTTTTAGTGTTGATCACCCAATTCGAGTCAAGTTCAAGGGCGTGCAATGTCTCATCATTAGCTGATTGTGCTGCGTGAGCGTGTGTGTGTGTACATACTGTACCTTGTCAAGGGGGGATGAGATGGGATGGAGGGGGAGAGAGAGAGGGAGGACGAGGAGGGCGAGAAATATTGAGAGACATTAATACCCATTCTCCAGACTCCCCCCTCCCTCCATCGGACTATTCCCACCGCCCCATACCCTCTCGACCAGGACATCCCCTGTAAATCCTTTTCTTGTGTTTGAAAAATAAGTTGAGGGTTTCCATATGGAATGTTGGTCTGAGCACTCTCTCTGAGGTCACCCACTCACTACCTTGGCTGTGAGGGCGGGAAGAGCACATGACCTTTGGCTGATGTGGCCAGCAAGACATGGGCAGTTTTGGTGGATTATTGGCTGGATTCTGTAATTGATTTGTTGGTCTGAGCTCTGAGGTTTTGTTTGTTCGTGATGTAACTGTTGTGCTAGCAACTCGAGCCTACGGATGGACTAAGAGCCACGAGACGAGACGAGAGGAGATCAGACCCTCGCCTCAGGTACGAACCTTAGACTCGATAGATTAGCGGACGATTATAGCCGTGACACTGGTTTGCAATGGTCCAAGCGGTGGACTACTACCTAACCAATAAACTACACGTTACTCTACTTGATATTGAAAAGCCTGAGCTCAAACGCGTCTAAGAAAAAAACGAAACATTCACCTATCTTCTCAGCCAAACTGATGATTCCAATGAATGGAGATAGATGACATGGTGTTTGCCGTCTTGCTGAATAAACGCGGCATTTTCGCCTTTCTCTAATATTGAAAGATCGATATTACAGTGGATAGAGCCAGGGGTAGTAATGACATCCCTTCTGCCGTCCGTGGTGCATCACAATTCCAGGGACCCGGTTCACAACGTTGTCTGCCCAGGCACTCACTGGAAATGCGCTCCAACGGCAGGGGATTAGGGCCAGGGCAGGGCTTGCCGAAAGAGCATGCATACGGTTTGGGATATCTACCTTAGTGAGGAATACGGACGGATCAGGATCTGGATCTGGACATGAATAGGGGATCAGAATAGACACTGTAGCTAAGCAAGGGGGAGGGGGAGCTATTGGCCGACACCGCGATCAAGAGGGGGACAAACTTGAGGGGCGTGTGAGTGAGTGACTGGATCAGTGACTGACAGACTGAGAAGCGGTGATCTGATGAGGCGGTAAGGTTTTGCTTGGACTGTGCTTGGCCTTTAGGCGTAGTCCCCAAAACGAGACTGACTGGACGTGGAGGCTCGTAGGAACTGGAAAAGAAGGGAGCAAAAGTGGAAATGAGTCAAGCGAGTTCGGCCAAGGGAATAGCCGTAGACTGTAGATGTACTAAAAAGGGGGGCGTGTAAGTCATTGTCTCTCTGTCTTAGTCTCGAAGAAGAGAAGCCTCGCAAGCCGTTGGTGATATGATTGTGATTCCGATTGTGATTGTGACTGCGAGAGACTAATAAAACATAGAAAGCGGGGAGGCAAGATATTGGTAATGCAAACAGTAAAGATCAAGCGGCAAAGGGAGTCTGGAGCTGATGATACTGATACTGGTGCTGTACAAACTAGAATAGCTGAGCTGACTTGGGCTACTACCCATTGCCACCGAGACACGAGTACTGATACGAGAAGGAAAAGTTTGGCATGCGTCCACTGACTGACTGTTATGTGATCGAGTTGTGATAAGAGTTAAGGCAGACGTTGCCTGCCGCTGTCAAAACGTGATTATGAGGCTATTTCCGTCGAGTCTGCCGCCATAAGGTTTACGGTACTCTAAGGAAACTCCCCTAAGAAGCCGGGGAATGTCGTCTCGGAAAAGTATTCGCCGAGTTGAGGTTGATAAACTTTCTGTGTCTCAGGTCGTGTCGAAGTTTCAGAGTCAATGATGAGTGTATGTACGTATCTGTCTATAGCGGAAGGATTGTGATAATCAAAAGGGCAGGCAAATTGTGCGGCAATTGACTCAGACATGAACTAAATCTCCGTGATCCATGATGAACTGATGCAGAAAGCAACAGGCATGTCCCTGAAATGCCAGTGTAAAAACAAATATCCATTCTTGAAATGCTTGCACGCACTGGAATGCGGGTGGACTCACAAAATACAGTCAGAGACATAAAAAAGGGGGGTCCAAGAGATGAGGCCATACATGCCAAACCACGAGATTGCAGTGGACCAAAACCGCTATGGACCGTCCCGACGGAACGAGACGATTTTCTGAGACAATGAAGAATGGAGGGAGGGAGAGGGAGAGGGAGAAATGCATTTGGTCGCGATACGAGTATCGTGTCTTAGACATCAATCTACTTTGATTATCAGGCACTCGGGACAAAGATCGTGATGAAGATGTTGCAAGGCTGTCTGCAGCAGCAGGAATGCAAATCAAG